TTAGAAATGCATGTAATTTTTTTTAAAAAAGATTTTTATTAAAACATAGCCAACATACAATATTATATTAGTTTCAGGTATACACCATAGTTATTCAACATTTATATACCTAAGGAAGTGATCACCATGATAAGTCCAGCAACCATCTGATACCATACCATGCTATCACAATATTATTGACTATATTCCCCATGCTGTACATTACATCCCTATGACTTATTTGTTTTATACCTGGAAATTTGAACCTCTTATTCCCTTTCACCTTTCCCTGCCTTTAAAAAAATTTTAATTACAGTTGACATTCATTATTATTTTATATTAATATTAGTTTCAGTTGTACAGAATAGTGATTAAACATTTATATAATTTATGAAGTGATCCCCTGATAAATCTAGTACCCACCTGTCATCATACATAGTTATTACCATATTATTGACTATATTCCCTATGCTTTGCCTCACATTCCCATGACTGTTTTGTAACTACCACTTTGTACTTCTTAATCCCTTTGATTAGTGTTTTGGATTTCTTCAGACAAATATCCAGAGGTGGAATTGCTGGGTCCTAAGGTAGTTCTATTTTTAATTTTTTTGAGGAACCCCCATACTGTTTTCCATAGTAGCTGCACAATTATTTTCTAGTTTCATAGCATTGTGATTGGAGAAGATGCTTGGTATGATTTTAGTTTTCTTAAATTTATTGAGATTCATTTTGTGGCCTAACATGTGGTCCGTCCTGGAAAATGTTTCATGTGCACTTGAAAGGAATGTATATTATGCTGCTTTGGGGTGAATGTTCTAAATAAATGAATTGAATTCACTTGGTCTAATGTGTCATTTAAGGCTGCTGTTTTCCTTGGTTTTCTGTGATTTCCTGTCTGGATGATTTATTCATTGATGTCAATGGGTTTTAACATCCCCTACTATTACTGTCTTACTTTCTGTCTCTCCCTTTATGTCCATCAACTTTGCTTTATATATTTAAGTGCTCCTATGTTGGGTGTGTAAATGTTTACAAAGGGTATAGCCTCTTATTGGATTTATGCCTTTATCATTATGAAATGTCTTTCTTTGTCTCTTGTTATAGCCTTTATTTCAAAGACTCTTTTGCCTGATATTGTAGGGACACATTAGGGACTTCCCCACATAGGCCCCTAGAACCAAGATTGTAAGGTTGCTACCTGAGCCAAAGCTCGGCTGTCAACTGGGGGTCAACTGAGAGAGGTTGGGTGCTTGCCACACTGAAAACAGTGGTGCTCAGCCAAAGTCCTTGAAACTGTTTTGTTCTTCTTGAGCTAAAAAACAACTCTTAGACTAAGCATTTTCTCCCTTAGCCTTAGGGGTATGCTTGTTATTTCCTGCCACCTGTTCCTCTGTTATCTCTAATAAAAGACTGAAGTCAGTGAGGATGCGGGGTCAGACTGCTAGGTCTGTCCTTCTCCCTATTCTCTACATTGCCTCACTCTATCCATTCTTGGCATCTCTGGTCAGTAGTACAACATGATATAAGTATTGCTACTCCAGCTTTTTTTTTCCATTTGCCCTTACATGAAGTATATTTTTCTATCCCGTTACTTCAGCCTATGTCTTTCAATCTGAAATTAATCTCTTGTAGGCAGTATATGTATAGGTCTTGTTTTCTTATGTATTCAGCCACACTATGTCTTTTGATGGGAGTATTTAACCCACTTACATTTAAAATAATTATCAATAGGTATGTAGTTATTGCCATTTTTTCATATTTTTTATCTTTTAAAATGTCCCTTTAACATTTCTTATAATACTGGTTTTGTGGTAATAAACTTATTTAGCTTTTTTGTCTGTGAAGCTCTATATTTCTCCTTTGATTCAAAATGATAGATTTGCTGGGTAGAGTAACCTTGGCTGTATGGCCTTGCTTTTCATCACTTTGAATATTTTATGTCAATCCCTTCTGGCCTGCAAAGTTTCTGTTGAGAAATCAGCTGACCGTCTTATGGGAGCTCCTTTGCAGGTAACTAACTGCTTTTCTCTTGTTGCTTTTATGGTTCTCTGTTGTTAACCTTTGGCATTTTAATTATGTGTTTTGGGGTGGGTCTCTTTGGGTTCATCCTGTTTGAGACTCTTTGCACTTCCTGGGTTTGTATGTCTATTTCCTTTACCAGGTTAGGGAAGTTTTCAGTTATTGTTTCTTCAAGTCGGTTTTCAATCCCTTGCTTTCTTTCTTTGCCTTCTGGTACCTCTGTGGTGTGAATGTTGGTATGCTTGATGTTGTCCCAGAGGCGTCTTCAACTATCCTCATTTTAAAAAATTCTTTTTTCTATTTGCTGTTGCAATTAGGTGTTTTTCTCTGTCTTTCATCCAAATTGTGGATTCGATCCTCCTCTGCTTCATCTAATCTGCTGTTGATTCTATCAAATGTATTCTTCATTTCAGTTATTTTATTTTTCATTTGTTTCTTTTTCATGTTTTCTATCTCTTTGTAGAAATTCCACTGAGTTCATCTATTTTTTCCCTAAGTTCATTGAGCATCCTTATAACCAGTTTTTTTAACTTGGCATCTGGTAGAAGCATCTGCATCTGCTTCCCTCCATTTCATTTAGTTCTTCTGAGGTTTTGTCCTCTTCTTTCATTTAGGACATGTTTCTTTGTTTCCTCATTTTGGCTGACTCCCTGTTTATGAACCCATGTGTTGTCAACCTGCTATATTCCCAGTCTTGGTAGAATGGCCTTATATATTAGGTGTCCTGTGAGGCCCAGTGGCATGGTCTTCCTGGCCACCTGAGCTGGGTGTCCCAGGGGTGTCCTTTGTGTGGGTTTTATGTGCTCCCCTGTTGTAGTAGTTGAGCCTTGATTGTTGTTAGCATGTTAGTGGGTGGGATTGACCCTTAGGCTGAGGACTGACCTTGACTACCACAAATGAGCTGTTGTGTTCGGGCTAACTCCATGGAGTGTGAGTTGCTTTAGCTTGGCTCTGGTGCCTGCTGAGTCCAACCTTTGGATTTATCATTTGTGCAGCTAATTGGGTGGTGCTCTGGCGTGCTCTGAAGCCAGACACCAGGTGTGTTTGTTCTGGGGTCTCCTGGGAGGGGCTTTTGTACAGGCCAAGTTTAACTGCTGCTTGTGCCCCACCTAGGGCCACCTGGTAGGAGCTACAAAGTAATCTGCAGTTGGTAGCTGCTTCTTCTGGACTTGGAAGCCCCTGGGAGAGGCTATGCTGCAAACCGAGGCTGCTTGCCACTAGTGCTGGGCTTGGGGCCACTTAGCAAGAGGTACAGGGAATGCTGAGGCCAGCTGCTGCTTGTTTGGGTTTTGTGGGCCTTTGAGAGATTTTAGGAAAGTTTGTAACATGGGCCTAGGCTGGCCACTTGTGTGGAAAAGCTGCTGAAAGAGGTTCTGGCTGGTGCACGAGTTGGGTGGGACAGGGTCTCAGGGAATCACTGGGGTGGTACAAGTGGTGTTAGGCAGGTTAATGGAACTTGTTTCCTGCCTGCGCTTGCAGGTGGGCGGGTGTAGGTCTCAACAAAGGAACAATGGCGCCTGCCAGCACTTCCACCTGCGACTGCTGGCAGTGTTTGGGGTGGACTCAACAATAGAACCATAGTGCCTGCCAGAATTCTGTCCCAGAGAAAGCTGCCCCATCCAGCCCTTGCCCTGAAGCCAGATAAGTTACTTCCTCCCCATATATCCCTGACACTTTGCTGTACCTTTACTAGAGCTTAGAGCTAGTGTTTATGAGCAATTGAGTCTGTTCTTTGGCCCTTTAGGAGGATATCTGCATCTACAGCAGCCCTCTTGTCTCACCCAGATGGAATCTTCGCTGATTTTTCACAGCCAGAAGTTGTGGGGACTCCTATTGTTGGCACTAGTGCTCTGGGCTGCGGATCCCAGTGTGGGCCTGGGTCCCCTCACTCCTCATGGAGGACTTCTGCAGCTGAGATATCCTTCCCGATCCTTAACCACCACATGTGGGTATGGGACTAGGCCTTATTTGCATCACTGCCCCTCCTACCAGTCTTGAAGTGGCTTCTTTATATTTAGTTATAGGAGTTCTGTTCAGCTAGTCTTCAGGTGGTTCTCAAGAGTGGTTGTTCTGTAATTTTATTGTAATTTTGATGTGATCATCTGAGGAGGTGAGCACAGCATTTATCTACTCCACCATCTTGACCAGAAGTCCTTATCATTCATCATTTTAATTACATAAATGTTCAACATGAAAATTTAGAGATGGCTAAGGTTAAAAAAAAGGAATTTTCCCCCAAACCAATTTCTTCTCTCCAATATTCTATAAATCTCATCCACTATAGGTAAAAAAATGAGTGGATTATCTTTATAAATTTGTGTGTGTGTGTTTTAGGAGGAAGAGGACAGTGTTGTTGGACTGGAGCTTCATTATTGACTACAAATCTGGGCTTGTTAATAAGGACACTTATGTCCTTTCTAAGTGATCTCAACCCTGAGATATTGCTACTGTTGTCAAAAAAGGGAGTGAATGTTGTGTCTCCCAGGGAGAGATGTCAGTTTAATAGAGGGCATGATAACAGGCTTAGGATTCTCAAAAAATTAGTTTTCTTCTCTTTGGCTATAGGCAAATTATTTCTACCCCAGTTAGCAGTGGAGGATTGAAGTAAATCACAAATGCATAGACTCCAAATCTTTGCAGGCTTAAAAAGAAATCTTTTGTAAAGAAAGGCTAGTAGGGCAATTTATTATTGGGGGAGGGGAGGTGTATCACCCAGGTAATACAATGTTCAATGAGGATTATTAAAATAGTTAGATTTGCCTTATGGATTCTGCCTGGTGATCTTGAATGCAAAACAAGATTAATTTGAATATGTAGAGAAGAAAAGAAGCTTGGGATTGATAAGGGGCTGCTGTTTTTTTTTTTTACTGATGGTTTCAACTAAAAATTTTAAATATGTATCTGCTACAGACAGAACAATCTCCATGTGTGCACTAGATTAATGGAAGAAATTTTGGGAAATGAGATAAAATAAAATGAAAGAAATTATGAAACATACATGATGATAATAAAGACGACATTTATTTTTCATACTCATTTGGAGGAAAGGAGAAAAGTCAGTTTGCTCTACCAAATGATGGTCTGAGTCTCCAATCATGCCATAGAATTGGATAGGCTGCTTGATCTCAGAGGATTTTGTACTCTTAATTCATAAAGAGAGGTCAAAGGGTGAGCCTTTGTGGGCAACTTCGCTGGTGCACGGCCAGGCTCCCTCTCTGAGTGAAGCTTTTCCCACATTGACCACACAGATATGGTGTCTCTCCTGTGTGGATTTTGCCATGCAGGATGCAATTTCCCCTAGTATGGAAACTCTTCCTGCATTGTGCGCAGGCATAGGGTTTTAGGCCTGTGTGGACTCTGATATGAACAATTAAGCTTCCTTTCTGACTGAAGGCTTTTCCACACTGATCACATCTATAGGGCTTCTCACCACTGTGAACTCTTCTATGAACAGCAAGGTTACTCTGATTCCTGAAGCTTCTCTGACAAATAGCACACTCATAGGGTTTCTGTCCAGTGTGGAGTCTTTCATGAACAGCCAGACTACCTCGTTGACTAAAGCTTTTACCACACTCCTTGCACTGATAGGGCTTCTCGCCTGTGTGTATTCGCTGATGTGTAACAAGATTGCCTTTGGCCCTGAAGCTTTTTCCACAATGGGCACACTCAAAGGGCTTTTGACCAGTGTGGATTCTCTCATGTAATGTTAGACTACCCTTTTGCCTGAAGGATTTTCCACATTCCTGGCACTCATAGACCCTCTGTCTCACTCCAGGTGAATCTTCCTGTAGTGTTTTAGAATCTGGCGATTTTTGTTCCAGCTTCTCTCTTCTGAAAGAATTCTGGAAATCCCAGCTTGAGGATCCTGTAGCCTCAGAGTGATCATATTTGTGGTGGGCTTCTGTCATCACATCTGATAAAATGAGAGGGAAGTCATGTAAGATGCAGCAATATGCTGAGTGAGAAGAGGGAAAAAGAAATAATGCTTTGAGTGCTTACTATGTGCCAGGCATTATACTGTGAACATTGCATAAATAATTTAATCCTGAAAACATTCCTATGAGATTGCTACAGATAAGGAAATGAGAGCATAGGGAGATTGTCAAAGGTCATGCAGGTAGGTAAGCATAGAGATGGGATTCAAACACAGGCATGCTCCACAGCAGTGAACTGCCTCTGTATGTTTAATTTAGGCTCCCAAATAATCTTATGAGGTAGATACCTCCATTTTTACAGATAAGAAAACAGATTCAGAAGAGTTAAGGAAATTATACAGGATTACATAAAACCCCAAACCCAATTTTTATCTGACTCCAAACAGGTGTGGATCCAGGTTGTGTAGGGCCTAAAGCTTTAAAATGTTGGAGGCACTCCATTAAGAAAAAAATATAAAAGTAGGGACAGGGCCTTGAAGAGACCAATACAAAGGAAGGGTCCTGAAACTTAGATTTCATTAGCTTCATGAGAAATCCACTTCAGATGTCTAATCCCTTCAACCCTGCAGTATAGAGTTTATTGTCCCATTTTACAGATGAAGACCCTAGAGTTCAAGGAAGTGAAAAAACTTGTCTGATACCACAGATTGAACCAGAAAAATTACAGAATTTGATCCAAGGAATTTTCCCTTTAAAATTCATGCTATTTCAGTCTACTAAGCTATGATGAAATCAATTTTGTTTTGGAAGTTATTCTCAAACACTTCCTATGCAAATATTGACATTGCATCTGAATTTTTCAATATTGCCTTGCATATGAACCTTCTACTGCCCTTTACATATGGGTCCATTTTATCCCTATTAACAGTTTTCTTGAGTCATCCTAGGGAGGTTTTTCTCTTTGTTCCCCTACCTTACCCTTCCTTACTCATTCTCTGAGACACTACCGCAAGTTCACCTCCATATCAGGATTATTCTGCAGTTTCTACAGTTATTTCTGACTCCAGCTTGCAGGGTTTCCCTGTAACCCCCCAGGGATGGTGGGCTCCACCAAAGGAATGTCTGTCTCCTTTGCTTCCTCACCCTGCTGACCAGTGCTGAGGACATGGGCACTGAATATGGTGAGCTGAGGGTACCCAAGCAATCAACTGGCTCACTCACTGAAAAATGCTACATTCTGGGCATATCTTCCATGACAGTCCAGCAGGGTAGCTGTTGGAAATCCAAACATGTCCACTCCTGCTGTATGACCTTAATCACCACCTCTTCATATGATGCTTCCATGGGCTGTTCTGGAGTACCTGAGGAGGAAAAAAACCAACCAAAGAAAAACAGGAAAGGGCAGGAGAATTGATGAGTGAAAAGGATAAAATCAGTAGGAACTCCAGTTTGGGGTATGAGTAAATGGAGGAACTCTGGACTGCCTGATGTAATATTAATCACCTGTACTGTAACTGCAAAATGGGCTGAAAGATACCATGACCGTACACAAATGAGCCCAGGAGGATGCAGGAGGTGGAAAAGTAGAGAACACATAAGCACACATCCTTCCTGCCAATCCCAAGATAATGGTCACTCCTGCTGTTCCTTAGCCTAGGCATGTGATTGGGATCTTCTGCTTCCTTCCCCCATCTAATCATCTGCTATTTTGGATAGCCTCCAAAGGAATTCAGAATCTAAAAAACTCATCATTTCAGCCTTCTTGATTGGTTCTATCATGGAAATGGCTCCAGCTCTCTTCTTCAGTTCCCCCTAGGTTATAAGGACAGAGCAAGAGATCTCATGTTACCTGTAAGCAATTCTTAGGAGGCTCCAGACCCAGACCCTCCCCTCTCCTACTCTTCAAGATATGAGAATACAAGTTCTGAGGGAACTGTATCAGTAAATGCTTGTCAATACTTAGAAAAGGAAGACCTACTTCGGACTTTAAAACCGAGCCCAAGGCACTCCAACTAGGGTGAATAACTTGCCCAAATTCTCAGAGCCAGTAAGGAGTCATGGTGGAAAAAAGATTCAGATCCAGGATTTTCTGGATCCACAGCCTATGCCCTTACACTAGACAGTTCTCTAGTTCCTCATCAAAGAGCTGGTAGAGAGTCTTATAAAATGAAACAGAATGGAACAGGGCTTGACCAGATTTTATTACTCTTCTAAGTCCTAGGAATCCTCTCACCCCAATTATCTTTTTCTTTTCTTTTTAAAAAATATCCTCTTCTTACTTCAGGACCCTAATTACTGAATTCTTACATTTTATACAGTGGTTCAGTGTATAATCTTTGTTTCCCTCTAATATATTCCATCAAATACTGGCCGCCTGATTTAATGAAATGGCAGTGTGATGCTACAGTTCTTTGTTTTGTTAACACCTGGTCTTGTAAACTGCACTGCTACCTGTTGTGATGACTGGTGAGGAATTTTAAACTCTTATTTGAAGGACACCTCCAATTTGGAGTACAGGCTACAAAGGAATCCCCTATCAGAGTGCCAGGACACTACAGGACTTTCATTTGGAAGTTCAAGGTGTTACTGCTCAACAACTGCACATCCACTAAGAGTCAGTGGAAAGTACCTGGCACCTTTTGCCTGAAATTGCACTCTGTCCCTGGGGAATCCAGCAAATCATTTGGTCAGAACACGTGGGTAGAATTTATAGCTCTGCCTCTCCACATACTGTGACATCTTCAACAAGTAACAACTCAGCTGTGTCTCAGGAACTCCTTGATTAATAAAGGGAAATTGTCTTACTTTTCTCCCTAGATCGCGTCTGAGGAATCAATTTCCTGAAGATTTTCGAGAAAGTGGCTTTATAATAGAAAATATTGCTTTTCCTATCAGAAAGTCTATTTATCCTTTGGAAAAAAGTTCAGAATTAGGCAGAGACTCAGATTTTTGCATTGGCTCCCCACTCCCCCATGTGACCTTGGGCAAATAACCAAAGAGCTCTGACTCCATTTCCACACCTACTAAATAGGTTAATAACAGTGCCATATTAAGTAGCTCCTGGGAGAATAAAAGAACCGAAGGGTCTCTGACATGACCCACAGATTTAAGGCTTAAAGTTGAAAGCCCTCAAAAGAGGATGGGAAGAGGAGGTCACTTGGCTATCTCGGAACCTCCTGGGGACAGTTTCAAGATTAGGAGATTCTGGGTAGGAGTGATCTTCTCCACAAGCCTGAATCCAATTCGTGCTTTCTCCCATTCTCCACCCGGAATGGTTTGTCCTTTCTCCCATTTACCCTCCCTAGAAAGACTGCACGTCCCCTGTCTTCTGAAACCCTCACCGCAGGCCCGGGGTACACCTGCCTATGGCCACCCCCTCCCGTGTCTCCATGGTGCGGGGCCTTCCACATGCCCTGACCTGCGGAGCTGCGGTCGGAGGGGCCTCTGCTCCTCGGGGCCGACTCTCCCTCCCGCCTCAGGCGCCCAGGCCTGCCCTGCGTGCTGGACCTCAGCACCCCGCTCTCCGGGCCAGCTGGACCCTTCTCTGCCGGCCGCAGACCGCTCCCCTCACGGCTGGCCTCCCTCGGCGACCGGGCCGGCGCGGCCTGCTCAGGGCTGGGGGGGCGGGGGGGCGCGGAGTGCCCGGGAACGGCGGCATGCTGGCATGGCCCCGACTCGCCTGGGTGCACTGACCCGGCCGGCAGCCTCACTCACCACAGCGGCGCGCGCCCGCAGATAGACAAAGGCCGGCGCCGAGCCCGCAGCAGCGCCGGCGCGAGCAGACCAAACTACAATTCCCAGGAGGCTCCGCGCGGGCCCGCCCTCCAGGTCCCGGGCCTTGGCGGCCCCGGCTTTCCGGAGCACTGTGGGAAACGTAGTTCGACAGCGCGCCCAGCCGCCCTCAGGCCTCCTCATAGCGGCGCCCAGCCTGAGGCGCGGATTAGTCTGCAGACTAAGAACCGGGGAGAATGGGGCATCCTGGTGAAGCTGTCCGCTGAACCAGGAACTCGGGAGTCTAGGGTTTTGAGAGGCACCGCGGAAGGAAACAAAATCTTGGGGAGAAGTCGGTTGATAAAGCCTTGGGTGCTTAGGGGTTATGCGTTGAGCCGCTGCACGAGCCGACTACGTATTCTGTAATTATGGCTCTGAAGCATGGAGCAAATATTTCAAGCAGAGACTGTGGGGAAAGAATTTGGAACACCGCAGAAGAATTTCGAGGGACTGGGAGGAGGATGCTTCAGTCTGTTGGAGAGCTCTTCCCTGCCGTTCCCTTTGGTAAGAATTCACACCCGATAAGGGTAGGAGAGCAGGATTTGCAATTGTCTTGCAAATTTGCATGTCGGCTCCACCACTGACTATGTGAGGGACTCTGGACTGGCTTCTTACCTGGTAGGGAGCCCAGGATAGGGTAAGGTGATGGTGACAGGGACCAGGTAAAGGCTTCTTGGAAGGGCCAGGGTACAGGCCAGGCGATCCCCTATCCTGTTCCCTCAGAACAAAAGCAAGTTTGTGAGTGAACCCAGAAAAAATCGTTCTGTATGTACCCAATGAATTGTGGAGAGAAAACAGTATTTTCTAGGATAACAAATTAGATTTTTCTTCGTAACTGAAGACGTGACTGGAACATTGAGAAATTGTAAGCCCTGAAAATCACTCAGTACATGGAGCAAGAGCTGTACTTCGTGGGGCTTCTTTGAAGAGTCACAAAAAAAAAGGCAGTCAAGTCCTTGGCCCTGTAGCTTGATACTGGGAGGAGGCAAGGTTGCTTTTGAACGTCCATGAGATAGATAAAGGCTCTCTTAAATTCCCTTAGCCTCCTTCACATGCACTTTTGTATCATTCTGGCTTTCCCAAGAGGTAATTGGGACCAGAGAGTGGTGTTACAGTTCCTCATGGCTGAAGCCGCTGTTGTCTGGGGCTTTCTCCCCTTTCCCAGCATCCTGGAGCTCTCCTGCTGTGTCCTCTCTGGGATCCCTGCCTGCAGAGCTCCCACTTGGACACTGGTGTATCCTTTTGAATGAAGAATGTTAACGTATTCAGAACGAACACTTCCTCTTCCTTGTCCTAGTCCTCTAGCCAAAAGCCACTCATCTGTTAAAACAAAACAATTTAATTTCATACAGTATCCAAAAACATAAGTTTAAGTAATAAGCTGATTCCTAAATGTTAGTTATTGCTATTACTAATAACACATCATTACTTAAGCTCATTTAACATGTATGTGCTAAGCCCATTTTGAGTGCCAGGTACTGTGCTGGGTATTGGGGACACAAATGTGAACAAGATAACACTCCCTTGTCCTAGTGAGGGAGCTAGTTGAGAAGACAAACACACCACCTGCCTCAAACCCTGGGCCAGCAGCCATCTCACAGAGAAATCCCTGAGTGTGTAGTAGAAAGTGCTCTGAAGTCCCCACCTCCTGACAAGCCCCTCAGCATGACTGCAAAACTTTCTATGGTGCCTCCTGTCATTCGTTCTAGAGTCAGACAGAGAAAGGGGTAGGGTGCAATCACCATTCGCTTTCTTTCCTTCTAGATCAGCAGGGCCCACAGTCGGTTCTTCTGCTGATAAACAGTATCATGTGCATAGAAGTCACTCTTGGACATATGGGCTCTGTTGAGGTCAGGATCAGCTGTGGACATTAAGAAAAGTTTTAGATCCCATTGTGAAAGTAGATGACAAAGCTTTGTACAAAAAGGTGGCTCTAAAGAGGAGCTAAAGTCACTTTTCTCACTTAAATCTCAATAAATTTTTACAGAGTCTCAGGAAAGTCGACACATTGAATGCAAAGTGTGGGAGAAAGTGGTTAGAATTGGAGGTGATGAAACCAATGCTCCCTAGACACATTTAGCAGTCTTTACCCAGATCCTACATGGGGCCCAGTCCTCAACCACCACCTGCCTTGTAAGGCACACCCTCAACAGAATGCAGGGGAGCAGGGTGAGGGTGGCAGCAGAGTGAATTTGAAAAATTGCCGAAGAATGATTTCCCCACTTCACATGCATTTAAAAACTTTTGGGAATGACAGATAATTCAATAAACCCTTATAATATATTCAGAGTTCACCATAGTGTTCCTGGGTACAAACTCTGCTCGCACAATTCCATCAAGGTCAAAAAACACATTGGACATCATTTTGATGTTACTTGAAGAGCATTTAAGAAATGATGTGCAACGGGCCAGCTGAGTGGCTCAGTTGGTTAAAAGCTCACTCAAGAGTGCGATCTCTGAGCACAGGATCGCCGGTTCGATTCCCGGCTTGAGCTGAGCTGCCACTGAGCTGCCGCTGAGCTGCCAACAGGTGGCAGGATGGCTCAGCTAAAAACAAAACAAACAAAAAAACCGACGTGCATAGAAAACAGCCTAAGAAATGGGCAAATGGTTTCACACTCCATTATGACAACATTCCCTGTCACACATTGCTTACGGCAATTTCTGTCAAATGAAAACATTACGGGGCTGGCTGAGTGGCTCAGTTGGTTAAGAGTTGGCTTGGGAGCGTGAGCTCTGAGCAGCAGGGCTGCCGGTTTGGTTCCCACATGCTAAGATTGTGTACAACAGCTCAACCTGGAGCTGGGCTGCCATGAGTGGCCAGCGATGGCATAGGCTGCAGCCCCTGCTGCAGTGGGTTGCCTTGAGCTACTGTGAGTGGCCGGCAGCTGGCACGAGCGGCCGGCAGCTGGCAAGAGCGGCCGGCAGCTGGCAAGAGTTGCTGTGAGCCAATGTGAGCTGCTGTCCAATGACCAGTGACCGACTGCCTCAGCCAGGAAGAGTGCAATGATCATAATACCAACATGGGCCAGTGAAGCAGTGTTCTCCACAACTAGACTGAAGAGCTGTCTGTTCTCCTTCCCTGATTTCCCAATGCTGTTCCCCTCCCCCAATTCCCCAATAAAATCTTTTTTAAAAAATTACTATTACAAACAACAACAATACAAAATATTACGGTGTGTCCTCATCCACTTTATTCACCGGGTCTGGCACTGTGCGACTTATGGCTCTTCCCCTAAGTCTAAATGACCATGTAAGGTAAACGTTTTGAATTGATTCAGGACATCAAGGCAGCCACAACAACACAATTAAAAACACTCTCAGAAGGACTTCCAGAACTACTTCAAAAAGTGGCAAGAATGATGGTATAAGTGTAGGAAGTGAGGGAGAGTATTTTTTTATTAAATTATTTTTTATTATGAAATACACATTTTTTAGAATTAGTTTCAACTGTACAACACAGTGCAATAGTTATACTTTTTACCCCTCGGAGTGACAACCCCACTCCCCCAATCTGCTGCCCCATTTCCCCCCAATATCATACATATCTATTACAAATCCCTTGACTCCACTCCCACACTATACTCCATGTCCCATGACCATATATATATATATTCACTTTATAGTGGACAGTGGACATACAATATTATACAACATCAGCTTCAGGTGTACAGTGCAGTGATCAAGCCTCTTCCCCATCCATGATGGAAGACATGTGACCACCTGACACCCTACAAAATATTCACAACATTATCAATTATATTCCTTGAATTGTCCCCCATGTCCCCATGGCAACACTGCAGCTGCGTATTTATGCTGTCCAGCCCCCTCCCTCTCTCCCTCATCCCCATCCCCCCCACCCAACAGCCATCAGCTGCACCCCCACATCTCTGAGACCACCTCCGTTCACTTTCCTCGCCCATTCAGTTTTTTAGATTGAGGGAGAGTATTTTTTTCCCAAAAGATTTTTATTGGGGAATTGGGGGGATGGGAACAGTGCTGGGGAATTTGGGGAAGGGGAACAGACAAGTTGCTGTCCTTTTGTTCTTCAGTCTAGTTGAGGAGGACGTTGCTTCACTGGCCCAAGTTAGCACCATCTTTGCGCTCTTCCCGGGTGAGGCAGATCCATCGCCGGCTTCTGGACAGCCACTCACGCGGCTGCTGGCCACTCACGCTGGCTGCTGGCTACATACGGTAGCCCATGGCAACCCACTGCAGCAGGGGCTGCAGCCTACGCCGTCGCCGGCGACTCATGGCAACCCAGCTCCAGGTCGAGCTGTTGTTCAGCATCTTAGCTGTGGAGGGCAGTGTCACTGGCCCTCATATGTGGGATCCAAACCGGGGCCCTCTGGCATCCCAAGCTAGTTCTTAACCATCGCGCCACTTGGCCGGCCCGAGGGAGAGTATTTTGAAGGGGATTAATGGCAATATGTTTTTTACTGTAATTAAAAAAAAAACATTCACCATATATTTTGATCACACCTCGTACATCCCACTACTCTGTGCATTCACTGAACTCACCAATCTTCCCTCTGAAACCATCCCACTATGTCCATCATGGAGGCCAGTGCTTGGCAGAAAGCTGGCCTTATCTCAGGCACATCCTGCTCAG